AAAGGGGTAGTTCACCCAAAAATCCCTTTACTTGCATTTATATTGCTTCATGACTATTATTCTGTGGAACACAATAAATGTTGTTTAACTAAACCCTTCATGCTGCTCTTTTTTTATTCAATAAAATGGACAGAAGTGAGGCAGAAACTAAGAAATGTTGCTGGTGTTCTTGAATCTAATATGCAAATGTACATATTTAAATATGGTAAGCCGTGGTTGTTAATGTGACACATTGTTTTGGTCTTTACCATCCTTCATCATGCCCCCATGCATGAAAAGCTGGTTTTATTGGTGCCTTGACCCGGATGGGAGTGTAATTGAGGCGAGTCTCTAAGAGATGCAAAAGGCTACCGTCTTTAATGCCCTTGTTTTAGAGCCTATCTTCAATACTAGAAAAGCCAATTCCAATCCTGGTAAGGGTGCAGCACCAACTATAGTGGCTATATTGGTGCCGTGACCCTGATAAGAATTAGGTTTATACTCATTTCACGCAGCCACAAAAAAAAGAAAGCAAGGCTGTGGTGGGAAGAAACCCAGAAGAAGAGCATTAGCTTTTCTTGCATGGGGGCATGATGAAGGATGGTAAAGACCAAAACTGTGCGTCACAATAAAAAATCACAGCTTACCATATTTAAATATGTACATTTGTACACATTTCACCGATGTTTACCGAGTGGAAACACAGACGAGCGATCCAATGAAAACTCGACTGATCTTTGCGGCTTTAAAATGCTCCAGAGTCCATGTATCTGCGCTTGCACTCGGTGAACTGATGACCTTCATGGCCAATCACAGTCATTTCTGTTGAGCACTGGTGAATACTATGGCAAATCAGCAGTGTTTAAGAACGTGCTCAGCTGCGCTTAAATGTTAGCAGGAAATGGACGTTTGTAAAATTTCAGTACAGGAACAACACTATTGCAAACAACATGAGGGTGTGCTACAGAGGACTGCATTGTTTTATCACTCACCACGATGTATTGGCTGAAGCAAGAGTGCTTCCCCACAGTGTTTAACTGGTGACATGAACCAAAGCCTAGGAGAACACTTAAGCATATTACTCTTAAAGAGAAAAGCTGATTCTGATCGCTCTAGAAGCCGGGTATGTAGAACCAAAGCAGCGGCACCAACTATGATGGTTATATTGGTGCCGTGACCCTGATAAGAATTAGGTTTATGTCAGTGCAATATCCTAGTGCTTAGCGCTGACATATGGTGCAGTAGCACGTCAGGGCGTCTTGAGTTCGAATTCCGGCTCGAGTACATTTCCCAACCCTACCAACGCTCTCTCCAACTTTTCTTCCTGTCTCATTACTGTCCTATCTAATAAAGCCAAAAAGGCCAAAACTGTCCATTTCCTGCGTGTTCCTAAACATCGCTTATTTGTCATAGAATTCACCAGTGCTCAATAGAAATGACTGTGATTGGCGTTGAAGGTCATCTGTTCACCAAGTCCAACGCAGATACATGGACACTGGAGCATTTTAAAGTTGCAAAGATCAGTCATCAGCGAATCGCTCGTCTGTGTTTGCACTCAGTAAACATAAGTAAAGTGCAGTGAACCGATGACCTTCGCTGCCAATCACAGTCCTTCTGTTAAGCACTGGTAAATACTATGGCAAATCAGCTTTAAGAACGCGCTTAACAAAGCTTAAACATTAGCAGGAAATTTACGGGGTTTTTTTTTATTTTAGTACCGAATTTTAGTATCGTGACAAGTCTAATATAGACTTGAGATTGATAAATGGCATCTAAAAACTGTGTTCGGGAAAGAAAACATTAGCTAACTAGTGCCAGTTCCCTTATCTTAGCTTTTTATTTTCACTATCCATTCAGAACAGACCTTTGGCTCACTCGGAAAGCGGTAAAATGATAAATTTGTGTCACTTTCTCTTCGCTGATAAGATATAAAGCCAGGTACACAATACACCATCGCGGACGCCTTTCCTGTGTCACTCCAGGCGATACTTTCAGGTTTCTTCCCACCACAGCCTTGCTTTCGCTTTTAAGATAGCGGCTGCGTGAAATCAGTCTATAGGGGTAAATGTAATGATAGCCAGCTTGTAGCTTTACCATACTGCCCAGGCCTAAAAAGCCAAGATAATGGAATTCACCAAATGTATTCCAGAAAAAAAATTAAGAGGAAAAAAGTACTTGAGAAAAAATGTGAAGGGAAAAAATGTCATTTTACACTAAAGAGCAGCAAGAATATTTTTGAGTTTCCCAAAAGAAAGAAAACATTTGTAAATCACAAGAGGGTGAATTAATAACCACGTTTAAATTTTTTTGGATGACCTATTTGATTACGGTACACTACAAAATAATCTGTTCATACCTTCCATAGGCGAAGCGTCTGTCTTTGTGATGGTCTCCAAAGGTGTCCCACAACCGAAGGGACACGCTTACGTCGTCCACAACATCTCTGGAACGTTCTAAGACCTGTGAGGAGTCAATTCAGCGGTTAAAATAGCACCCCTGTCCTAAAGCACAGAAGACCAGAGGCCTGTTTGATCTTTCCCTGTAATCTGTATCCCTTCCGCCGGCTGAAATTTAAATGAATCCTAACGGAAGCAAGTCTGAGAATCATGTGCTCATTATCTACAGTCATAATGCTCTCATAACAGCAGGGTAAATTTAATTGAGAGAAGATTTACCTCTTGACAGACTCTATACTGGTCGATGGCCCATACGGTTGGTACATGCGTGGCCAACAATTGGTACTGGGTCAGTGTAGTGTTGCAGGCCCGGGCGCAAATAAGGCGAGTCTTCCCAACAGCATTATCTCCAACAACGACACATTTGATAGTTTCTACGTTGGGTCTTTCGTAGTCCATAATGAGCACCCTACAGGAGAACAAGAATTCATATCAGCGCACATACATACTGACCAAAGGAGGTGTTTCATTTCAGATCTATTGAAACAGAACTGCAGATAGCATTGACCTTGCTATGGGTCAATGAAACCTCAATATAATACAGGACTTCTTGTTTTCACATTCCTAAAATAGTTGCCCTATATTATAGCCACATTTTGTTCCTGCTGAGCAGGACAAAACTCAACCCATATGACTTTCTTGTCAGATGCAATGTGCATGAACGCACGTACAAAGATGCTTGTGTTTCTAATTACAAATCTAAACATTTCAGATTAGAGTGTTTAATGACACCTTCAATTATCGGCTGTTAACTACTTGGCAAGTGCATCTAATTTAATCATACAATAATAAACAGATCATTCAAGTGATGTTATCATCTAATGTTATTTTTCTATGGCTTAACTCTGAGGGTGGGGGGGATTATTACCTAATACAATTTTAATTACTGATATGGCCTTTAATCATTCCAATTATTGAAACAACTGAAGAGAGAGTGTTGTGCATAATGCAATTTTCACCCTCACACTTTCAAATCATTCCTCCAAAATATTTATACATACATAGATTTTAATTTCAGAACCATAAGCCCCGTTAGCTATACACCAATGAGCCAAAAAGTCATTGCCACCCGCCTAATACGCTGTTTATCCTCAATGTGCTGCCAAAACAGTGCTGACCTGCCATAGCATGGACTCTACAAGACCCAATAAACGTGTCTTGTAATACTGGCACCAAGACATCAGCAGCAGATCCTTTAAGGGCTGCAGTTTGCAAAGCGAAGCTGCTGTGGATCAAACCAGCTCCAGAACTTCCCACAGATGCTCATTTAGAGGGCAGGGCAACAACTTAAACCAGGGGTGCTCAACCCTGTTCCTGGAGATCTACCTTCCTGCAGATTTCAGTTGCAGCCCATATCAAACACACCTGCCTGTAATTATCAAGTGCTGTTCAGGTCCTTATTAATTGGTTCAGGTGTATTTGATCAGGGTTGGAGCTAAATTCTGTAGGAGGGTAGATCTCCAGGAACAGGGTTAAGCACCCCTGACTTAAACAGACCAAAACAGTCCTCAAACCATTCCAGAAGAATGTCAGAAGTGTTGCAGAGTGAATTATGCTGCTGAAAGAGGCCACATCAATCTGGGACATGATAGTTATGGAGGGGTGTACAAAGTCTGCAACTATATTCTGGTAGGTAGCTACTCAAGTAAGTGTTCTCCGACAGTATACATAGACCAGCAGTTTACAAATGTTAAAGATTATAAACAGACAACCTTCCACTTCTTTAAGGATCAGTTTTTGTGCCAGTTGTAGACACTTTCAGGAGTGGACAGTTGTCATCACACAGCTGCTCTTATTGGTCTGTGGCTACATGACCTCATACACAGGAGAGTGCGTGTAAGGACTGCACAATATTGGAAAAACTTGTGACAATGTGGTGTTTATTTTTTGTGCAATATATATTGCAATATGAATTCAATCTTATCAGATGACTTGAATAGCTTTATTTGGAAACAATTCATCATTTTAGTTTAATAGGGGTTTATTTTTTGGGCGTGAATCATGGATGAAAAATAAAAAGCATAGAAAAATACAATAGAGCAAAGATAAAAGTTAAATGAAAAGTGCTTTCGGGTTCTGGGGAGTCTATTCTGCTACAGAAATGGAATAATCAAATGTAAAATAACACCTGATTGTTTATATACTTCAAGAAATTTCAATAAAGTAATTCAATAAACAAATTTCTTGTACTCGGATGCTTTAAACTGTCTTAACTCAGACCTTAAAGCACATGCAAATAATAAACTTTCACTCAATCATGGTTAAAATCTGCAGTGACTCCACATTGCACAACATAATTGTGGATGCACAGATTGCAATATCGATGCTGCGACAACATATTGTGCAGGCCTAGTTGACACATTCCTCCCATAGCTATCAATGATATTTCGGGGGACTTGTGCCATTGTAGGACTTATGTTGGCTCAAACCAGATGGGATAGACTTCGGTGCGCTTGTTCATTGATGAGCCTGGCCACCCAACATTCTCTCACTAGTTTGTCCCTCATCTGACCACTTTTGGTACAATCATCCCCACTTCTGAAACCTTTCCATTTCAGAGATACTATAACACATTTGCTTTGCTGTTACAATTTGACCGTCAGATCTTTATCCCTGCCCATTTCTCTTGCATCCAACAAATGATTAATTACTTACTTTCTTCCAGGGCTGTTTATATTAACGTTGATATTTAGCTGCGCAATGTTGGTGATTTGTAACATCTAATTTTTACGAGGTGGGTCGTAATAGCCCAACCAGGACATACATGCACATACACTATGGAGAATTTAGCTTACCCAATTCACCTGTACCGCATGTCTTTGGACTTGTGGGTGAAACCAGAGCACCTGGAGGAAACCCACAAAAACACGGGGAGAACATGCAAACTCCACACAGAAATGCCAATTGACCCAGGTGGGGCTTAAACCAGTATCCTTCTTGCTGTGAGGTGACATCGCTACCCACTGCACCTACTAACATAATTATAAGAGCTAATTTCCATACCATCTAATCTATCGACCTTAAATATGTCCCCTTGCTAGGAGATGATCGTGATATTTATATTTAAACAGCCATAATGTTTTGGCTCATCTGTGTAAGTAAACGTATGAATTAAGGAGCCGCGGTTCATAACATCTCTTTATCAAAAGTCTTTACATAGGCTGCACAAAATCGTGTTAAGTATGAACATTCTGGACAGATAAAGAGGCAAAGTTGATTTTAAATTCAGATTTTAAGACATTCCCCATAATATAATTTTAGTAAAGTATTCTTTGCTAATTCTAAATAGGAAAATCATATTAGCAGCCAATGATTATCAAAGTACAGCATTGTTTACAGTCAATTAGATAGTGCTAATGTTGTTTTGAAGTCATACTTGAATGCTAATTCTGACCGAATATTCAAATTAGAGTGGTACACTATATAGTGACAGTTAAATGAAGGAATGTGCGAATATAAAACCAACTCTACCTTAAATAAACGAGGAAGTATTTTTCACGGTCTTGCATTGGCTGAATCCAGCGTTATGGATGTAACATTTGCAGTAAAAAAATGAAATATATATACTCAGAGAAGGTATATGTTAACAGTATATTGAAATATATATGTTTATAATTTTCTTACCCCTTAACCATGGAGTTATATAGGAGTCTATACAGGTGTTTTATATTTAAAATGACAGCAAAATTAATGTTACGGACGTGACAAAAAAAAAAAGAGTTTAAAAAAAAGAGTTGGGAGTTTACATACTTTGAGGAAATTATGTGAATAAAAATGCAGAAGCCAAAAAATACATATATATATATATATATATATATATATATATATATATATATATTTATTTATATATATATATATATATATATATATATATATATATATATATATATATATATATATATATATATATATATATATATATATATATATATATATATATATATATATATATATATATAGAGATATATAT